TAGAAAACAAAAGTTTCCTGTTGTGGATTGCTTGCTAATAAAAATAATATTGGTGGACTTTAGATTTTAATTGGTTACTGTACTTTGAATTAATGGTTAATTGCACTTGCAGTATTGAATTCTGTAACACAGATGAAGCTGTTCTGTAAGGAAAAAAAGCTACGTACAGTGCTTTTCATATTTAACATATACTGATGCATGTAACCGATCAGCGGCTGACTAACCTGACTCATTTCCATGCTTTCATTCAGCTTCACTCTTGAAATTCCTGTGGTCTGCAGAGCAAATAAAAAATATCCCAAATTTAAAACATGACCACCATGAAAGGCTTCCAAAAGATCAGACTTTTTAATAGGATTTTTGCTGTTCTTAGGCCCATACGTTATGTAATTCAGAAAAAACATTTATTCTGAGAACAGATCGTGTGCTATGAGGAATCCTCAACACTGAGTAAATGAAATAAAAAGCTCTGTATTTAAAAAACCCCAAACAACAGATTTTGGACAAGAAAATATTATAGTGACGAGAAAAAGTATACTCATGTTATTGATGATATGTATGCTTATGGATAATTCAAGATATGCTGTATTTTGTGAGGACGTTATTAGGGTTGACATTCTAGTGCTAAGTTTGTTTGAGAAACACAATTAAATACTAGAGATGTGACTTTTTAAAATTAATGATAAACTCTTCAGAAATATAATTTTGGGGGTATTCAGTATTTTGAGTTGAGTTAGGCAATGAGTTTCATCTGCAAGGAAAGGAAGTAGGAGAGATGCATGAAAACAGCCTGTCTCTTCATTGTTTTGAAGGGGTTTAAATTAGAAATATTCATGTTTCTTTCTGACAGTTTTTAAGCAAAACTTTAGTACCTTGAGTCAAAACAGCGTTGTTCATTAACTCTGAGAGAGCTGGGGAAGTTAATTCAAAAATAGTGTCTAGGTAACATAAAAATAGGAAGGGCTGCAGGTAATTTGACAGAAAGAACTAAAGTTCAAAATGATCTTTTTAAAATTTAGAAATTGTCTAGTAAAACAGGAAGTTTGTCTTCATACAAATAGACATACACCTTACACAGAAATCCAAATCTTAGGAATAGGAAGGACCAGAACGTTTCAAGCACAAAATTACAGTGTAAACTTCTGATCTTCTATATTCTGAAAGCCACAGCATAAGCAGTCTTCCTCTGCCCTTTTCAGGTATTTCCTTTAGGCAGCAATAGCTTCCTTTTTATGGGGCATAAAACATTACTGCTTAATCTAGGCTAAGTGCTGTGTAAAATTGAAGAATATTCATACAGAGCAGTACTAAAGGTGCACTGATGTCCACTGTATGAAAAGGTTTAAAGTTATCCTCTTTGCAGTGTCAGCTTCAGATATGTATTAGTTCCTGAGGATTCTTAACTTACCTCACTCACTGTATTTTTATTTTTGTTTTACAGAGAAATGGTTAATGCATGGTTTGCTGAGAGAGTTCATACCATCCCGGTCTGCAAGGAGGGAACAAAGTCCCAGAGTGAATCCTGTGCTTGTCACCAGCCTGCCTGTGCTGAGACCACCAACTCTGGGACACCAGCAAGGAAAATCTCTGCCTCTGAATTTGACAGACCCTTAAGGCCTATTGTTGTCAAGGACTCAGAAGGAGCAGTGAGCTTCCTCTTTGGCTCTGAAAAGAAGGAACAGATGCCTCTGCAATCTCCAAGGATTGAGACCAGTGCAGGGGATCAGTGCTCAAGACTATTAGAACTTGTGAAAGATATTTCTAGTCACTTAGATGTCACAGCACTTTGCCATAAAATTTTCCTACATATCCATGAGCTTATAGCAGCTGATCGCTATTCACTGTTTTTGGTCTGTGAGGATAGCTCAAATGAGAAGTTTCTTGTAAGCAGGCTGTTTGATGTGGCAGAAGGCTCCACCCTGGAAGAAGCTTCCAACAACTGCATTCGCCTAGAATGGAACAAGGGCATTGTGGGTCATGTAGCAGCTATAGGCCAGCCTCTGAACATCAAAAATGCATATGAGGTAAAGCAAGAAAATTTATCTTGAACAATTCTTGAAAGAAGAAAAAGCCATATTATCAGCTGATGTAATATTGCTATTTTACTATATGTATTTGGAGATATATTGTCTTAAACCAGTCAAGATTCAAACCTGGCACCAAGTTTTTGGTTATAATACATGTATTATATATACATGCATATACAGAAACGTAGCCGTGACTAATGCTAGAGGAATGCTAACATCAAAATAAATTATGTAAGCTTGACATTAGCAGTCAGATTTTCAGCCCCATCTTAACCAGCTATATGCACACCAATATTTGCAATTCTAGCTTTGGACACTTAAATGTTTGTATTTCTGCTTGTATAAGGATGTAAGATGTTCTGCACCAAAACAAATGAAATTGTGAGTGTAAGTAATTGTCTGCAAAACTGGAGTTCTGTGACTAAAAATACTGTGGAGAATTTACCCACAAGCGCTCACATTCCACATAAATGTTTTTTGTTGTTGTTTTGACACACTAATAGTAACAACTTTATATAATTATTAGCTAGTAATGGAACCTTTATTATCCTGGGTAACAGTTAAGTCAAATATTGTACTTTTCTTAACCTTTAAACCAGGGAAGAAAAAGAACTGGTCTTTAGGCAAGTAGTCAATTAATTATATCTTTCTCTTGTATCAGGATCCAAGATTCAATGCAGAAGTCGACCAGATCACAGGATATAAGACTCAGAGTATTCTCTGTATGCCAATAAAGAATCACAGGGAAGAGGTAAGTAACGGATTTTTGGATCCTGAATGTGGTAGCCTTTAGCCACATCACCAGTTCTTAGGATACTCACAGTATAAGGCTCTCTATAGAGTGTGTCAGAGCTTTAAGATGAAGATTTTCTCTCCTGTAATTCCTTCAAACTCCAAAAAGAAATGCTGCCAGCATTGGTTTGAAGACATCATGCCTTCTTTTTCTTGCTCTCCTATCCTTTCCTCCTCTTACAGAATGCATCACCTTGACTCTCACTGCACTGAACCTTTTTTCATTAAATAAATTGATTAAACTCTTGATTTAACGTCTTTGTCGAATCTTGACTCTAGCTGACCCAGATAATCAGCCAGCATTTCCTTTCTTCATGTACTGCTAATCTTGGTTTAAAATAAAATTTTCAGTTGCTCCAAGGACAGCATTTGATCCTCTCCTACTCCCACTCCCGCTTCAAGTCTTCCCCTTTCTAATCGGCAGCAGCCACTGCTGGCCCTGGGCCAGCTAATGGGCAAAGCAGATGTGTGAAGAGCTGTCAGGGACCAGTGGTCCATGTCAGGCTGATGCAAGGCTTTAAATTTCACCCAAGCCATCCCATTTGCTATTTGCTGAATGGAAAAAAATGCTATGTTCTTATGTCATTTGGATTAGCAATGAATTACAAAACCTTGCTGGCCAGAGAGCGTGGAAGTGCTTTCTTTCTCACCAGATCCTGATGGTAGGTGGGGGAAGGAATAAGAGCTGTAGTCTGTTGGTCCAATACACCATGACTTACAGGCTGAATAAACCTGCAATTGGCCGTATCTTCAGCTAGCTTTCTACTCTTAAGTGCATCAGCAAGTGGAAATGAAGCAAGCAAGTAGTTGTTTATTTTGAAAAGTTCAGCCAACCTGAAGTTTGAGGAGAGTGTTATGCACTCCTCATATGCAATAATTTGAAGGGGCTAAAGTGTAAGATTTCTTACAGGAAAGGATGGCACATTTAAAAATTTTTCCAAATTTAAAGTTTCTACCAGAAGGTTTTTCTCCCTCTCGCCATAACACATGGCTGACACGTTTCTGGACAGATGTTGGAGTCAGTGAATCAGTCCTTAATTTGACTTGTGCTTTCTGCTGCTTTTTCTGTTAAAACCAAACAAAAAACAACAACAAAACCAACCCAAAACAACAAAACCAGAATACTAGCTCCTCCCTGACAAAAAAAAAAAAATACCCAAAGCCCCTCTGGTAATATTGAGGCTAGGGAGTGCTGCCTTAGCCCAGGAAGTCAGCAACCACAGTCAAAAGATTATTCTGGAAGACATCCAAAAGTAAACACTGAGAAAGAGAAGCAACTGGGGGTTTCTGTTTGTTTGTTTAGTATTAGTACTATTTTTCTTAAACAAAAGAGTCAGTAATTGAGAGGAAGAAAATCTCATGCTGATTATTAAATCCTTTGGGCCTGCTGAAGTATGGAGATTTTTCCAGTAGATGTTTTCCACATTTGCCTATATTTCCATGAGGCATGTGAGAAAACAAAGTCTCACTTAAAAATAACAGCTAGTAAGAAATTCCATAGATGAAAAGAAGAAAACAGTTTGATCCACAGTAGAGCTCATAAGAAAGACCCAAGAACTAATAATACTACAAAAAAAAGCAGGGCAATATGAGTACTTCACCTCTGCACAGATGTGCATGACAAATGGAATTATGTTCACTTAACAGTAGAAGAACTCTCAATCCCCTACTCAACCTATTCTTGCTGCCAGAAATGCCACAGAAACATTGTATTTCAGATGCAAAAAATTCTGCTGATTATGTCCTTTAAGATCAGATCACAGAGGTTTGTATAGTGCTAGCTTTATAAAGAGTTCTCATTTTCCCATGAAAAATGCAGACTGACCGAACTTTGCCTCTGATTTCAGGAGCTTTGAACAGAGTTCTGGTATCTGTAAACCCCTGCTGCACAATCTCTAATAACTAAACAGAAATTATTTCCATCCCATCATACAATAAAAGTATTGCCCCATGTTGCTTTCTGGCATGCAAGACTGTTACCATTTCCTGGTTATCACCACTGAAGAGAACAAAGAGGAAGAAAGAGCTTGGGTAATCTGAATTGTATTATACTTAAAAAGAAAACCAAAATGGATTTAAGTCAAACCATTTAATCATCTATTCCTGTATGTAAATTTGTCATAAGGTGAATATGAAGCCATAGCAAAAAATTCATTTTGATTCAGCAAGATTTTCTCTTTTCATGATTCTTGTCGAAGAGCAGATAACTCTGTACGGTTATCTAGACATCAATAGGCAAGACTTACTACCTGGGTTATCAACACCTTCCAAACAGATTGAATTTTTATCCTCAGTAGTACATGTAAGCCACCAATGAAAAGTTACTGTTCGCCAGCTTGTACCACAGAGTTACTGTGGTTATTTCTTTTACAAGAGGAAACTGGTATTGCTGGACACACTCGTTAGGTGTAGCTGTTAATCCCAACCATTTCAGGGCTACACTGCTTAGTGCTGATTTAGTGCTTAGTGCAGTGATTTAGTGCTTAAATCAGGGTTTTACCACCACTGCCAGAAGGTTGTGGCAGTTCAGCACCATGTATCTCAAAAAGCAGCTTTTAATTCCTGTTGCGTCCTTAACCCTTCAATTTTTCAGAAGCTCCAAATGATACTAATTTGCCTTCTAGAGCTCCCATAATAAGGTCACTAAATGCAGTGGCACTTTCCTCTGATTTTCTTTGGTCTTCGATTCAGAGACCCAGAAAAAGGACTACAGAAGTTGTTGCAAATAATTTTCACCTCAAACTTCTCCATCTGGTTTTGTAGACATTTGTAAAACAAACAGTCAAAATTTGACAGAACTGCATAGGGAATGGAAGTCCTTAGCTTAAACCAATTTAGAGTTATCCAGAACTGATACAAGACTTGCTTAGAGCTCTCTTAACTGGTTTGGAGTATCTGTAGAATGGATGGTTTCTGACATGCAGAGTTGTCACAGCTGCTGTAGAATGTCCGCAGAATGACATAATTTTCTATTATTTCTGCATTTTTTTCTTTCAGCTTTGCAAAATCATTTCCATAAAATTCTATTTCAGTTTAATTTCTGCTAGAATCTGTAGTATTTTCTCATATGGGAACTTTTAGCTGAATTAACTAAGACCTATCTCCCAAGCTCTGAGTATGTAAGATTGAACTTCCTAATAATTGGCTAGGGAAATGTTTTATTCTGGCAATGCTCACTCCAATTGTCTAGTTTGTTGTTGTTTATTTTGCCTTATTTCCTGTCACTGGGAAGCTCTTCCCAACAAATCAAGGATGGCTGCTCTATTTCGAAAAGCCTTTGAAAGCATCCCGTTGAATTTTAGTGTATGAAATGTGACCAAGCATAGCGTTAGCCAGCTAAGTTATTTTCTCCCACAGTCAAAACTTCAAGCATAATACATCCCAGTCACTGCAGTATAGTGTAGATCTAGCCAGGCTAACTTTAAACAAACTAACTTACGTTCCCATAGCAGGCTTGCTGCAGGATTATGGAGATCAGTAATTTTCTTCTTGGGTGGATTTTCAAAAGCTTATGGTGAGACGTGCTATAGTAGCAAGACCACTGGAAATTATGCAGGCTACTGTTGGCTTGAATGATAGAAGAGGATGTGAAAGTTTTGTTGATTAAAAATGCAAGTCTGTAAATAAAGGTCTGTCCCTGCAGGATAATTTTATAAGCCTGAATCAAACCTCTACAAGAGTGGGAGAGCAAAGTAAGGTTAAAACCACTTAGTCTGTCTTCTCAAGTGGATATGTTCCCATCTTTAAAATGAGATAAAAGTTGAGTTTCCCTCTTCCTGTTACTGTTCTTCAGCTTAATGTCATTTTTCTTGGGGTGCCAGCAAAGTAAATAAAAAAATATATCTTCTTACGAAACAAAATTATATTTTTAAGTTACCTGAAGTAAGAACCAACTAAAAAGGGCACAAGCTGCCTGTAGAGCTGGAACAGCTTTCACAGAATTAGACCTGTAATCTTAATGAACAAAAATTGCAGCATGAAACAATCCAGATAAAATTCAGAGCATGGTCATCAGCACTGAAGTCATCAGTCATCACCTACTGGGAACACTCTAGGCAGCCTGCTACTTATAGAGACAGGAGTCAGCTATCGCAAGAAAATATTTAGTAAAAATAAAGCCCTCTGATAATTAGAAGAAATCTCTCTTTGTAATGTGGATCAAGCTTTATTAAATGGGATAACTGGTCACAGACCAAGAAGAAAGGTTACAGAACAATTACCAGCACTGGAAGATTACTTGTGTTGCCAGCAGAATGCTAATGTTGTGTAATGTTCAGATGTGGTAAAGCAGGTGTGCTCAGTAGTGGCTGGAGGGTTTTTCCCCCCCTTTTTGGGACTGAAAGTAAGAGAACAATTCCATCATCAAAATTGCATTTTTATCTTCATGGTATATGTCTGTCTTATGTGATCTGAATGGAAAATGACAAGGTACTTGGTTTCTGATACAAGGGTAATTTTTCCAACTGACTTTAAAGAAAGCTGGACCACTGAGGAACAGCTTGTTCCTTTCTGCCTGCTGCCCACCCCTTATGCACTTTTAGTACAGCAAACCTGGATGAAGGTTATTCTTAGGAACAATGATAGGACTACTATAGATATGCCTGGTGCTATAATCCCACCTGCCCAGTCAGGCTGGGGGTAAAGCTCATGAGAAAGAGGGTGTAGTGCTCAACGCAACAGCTCACCGGGGGCTTTAGGGATTAGGCCAAAAGCTCACAGGTATCAAAATACAAGCAGATACTAATTACTTCAGTCTTTCCCTTAGCATTGGTTTTCTTCAGTCCCTAGTACAACCTTACGCTTTTCCAGTGGTCATCCCCCCTCATAGCTCTTTTTAACTCCTTTCTTTCCTATTAGTTTTGTATTGGATGACCAAGAAATACACAGGATAATTCTGTAGGCATAGTGGGAGAATGACAAGAAATGAAACGTAAGTTTGCTTTATTGCTACAGGACTCAACTTCAAAAAAAAATTCACTTGGTGCCTGCTTGTTGGAGAATAAAAGACACATAAAATATTGTGCCTAAGTAACTTAAAAAACATCTTTTTGTTAGACTGGAACAGTGCTTTCATGAGCAAGTGTTTGAGTGGACTGGCATTTTTTTTACTACATTCTTCAAGTTTTACAAAGAATTAGCTTTATCTCAGATATGTAGCTATGCCTTGTTAATTGCCACAAAGATTTCACACTTTCAATGTACCTGTTATCTGAATAAGCTTTCTGTATAGCAGAGCTCAGAGCAGTTAGTCACCTTTGATTCAATTTTTCTGCTGTGCCAACATAACTCTCAGCTGGAAATCACAGATCAAGTTTATTGTTATTTCAGATTTGTTTACAGTAGGTTTTAAAAATGAGGACTTGGGTTTCATACTGTGCTTAGTATTCTCTAAAATGCAGGCATATGTTCTCTGTGGCCTAAAATGCTCCCACATGATTTACTTTTGTCCTAATTACATAATTACTTTAGTAACAGGAACAGATCCTCTTGAGTTTCCTACATCTCCTCCTAATTACCTGGTTGCAGGCAGGACTCCAATGGCTAAATAATATCCATCTGAGGTTTTTCTCATTACTGTCTCTACACTACATTCTACAGAATTTAGTGAAGTTCACTGGAATTTGACTGATATAAATGAGGCAATTACTTGGACCAGTTTAATTTTTAAAACTGTTTATTTTGTATGAAAAAAATGACACATACTACAAAGTTGTATTTAAAAGCTTAGAACGTCACTGAAACAACAACAAAACAACAAAAAACTAAAGCTTTGCACCTGCATAAAATTTTTATCATCATCAAGACAACCATTAATCTTTAGCAGGTTTATTCTCCTCAGTACTCCCTCCCTCTTCAGTTAAAACCTTTTATTGAAAGACCTTAACAAAGTTCTAAAAATGACCATTTCACTTGGAATACATGCCTTTGTTAATGTATGAGAAACCTGCAGTGCTAATAAATGGAGCCTAAACAGTCTTTTTCCTAAACTAATATAGTCTTTTTAATGTTTTCCTGTAGCTTTTTTAAGCACCACAGGCTTTCCTTTCATGGAGGGGATGTGTTTACACAAGATGAAAGTGCTCACCTTTTGGATGCCTTAAAAAGCCTCTGACCTCATTAAAGTTGTCTTAGCTCATGCTGAATCAAAACTGAAAAAAATAAAATGAAACAAAATAAATACCCACAGAAGACGGCGGCATAAGGAAAGACCTAACGATTAATCTGTGCACATGTAGGTTAGCATAAAAGCACATTGACTGGTTAAAAGATTTCCTTACTATTCAAAGACTGCTGTAGAAGTATGTAAACCTAGTTTCACATTGTTATTACAGTAAGAAAGTTCACTGGATAAGAAATATTCTTCACTGAAGTAAGCAAGAGGTTGACTGCAGGGAAAAACTGGGTTGTATAGAATGGAGCTGACAATTAAGCTTTATTTCAGACAAACATTTTTGAGCCCACAGTTGGCAGTAATTCATGCTGCAGAACAATGAGCTTATTTGTAACATCAGTATTTTGGGAAGGCTAGGCTGAGAGATACAAAAAATCATTACAGAAATAATGCTCTTTGTATGCCTTCTGTCAGTTTAGCAATTATACATTTAATGATTAACAGTTAAGTAAAACTTTTTAAACATGCACACCACACATTCTTTTTCTATTGTTTATCCCAAAAAAAGCAAGATGAAAAAAACCCCACCATCATTAATACCTTGTACTGGTCTTACACTACTTTGATCTCAAACAAAGGAAGTTCTTAGCAGCTTTGTAAATCGTTTGTTGTAAATGAGCCAAAAAATCTGAAAAGAATCAAAAGCTTTGCATATACTTTGTGGCTTCTTACCATGCACTGCTTCCATGTTACTGTACTCAGCTAGGTGGGCTTCATCTGTGCTAGAACTGTACAGCAGATTTATTGAGTTTAGCAGAAGATGAGACCCAGATATTTAAATAGATGAACAGTCTAATGGTAAGGATGCAGGGTTTTAGTGAGTGACTTCCAGCTCCTCCAAGTTTCCAGCTTCTCTCTCCTACCCCTTGCTCTGGCACTACTCCTCTCTTTCAGTTCTGCCTTAACCTAAATCCATGCCAGGAGCTACTAGTGGCTGTTCAGCTTGATACCATAAACTGTGGGCTTCGTTCCTGGGTACCAATGTGAGTAATGGCTCAGACATAACTGTCCCCACCCTCCACTTGGCACCTTCCTCACAACGTACTTTGGTACCTTTCTCATCCATCCTGACAAACAGCACTGGGTTCATCACCTTATAGCTCCCACGCCTGATGCTGGTTACAGAAACCTGTTACTCACTGACAGTCAGAACAATTCTTTTTTTTACTTCACAAATCAAGGAAACTATACTTTCTCCAGCTTTTTAAGCTTAAAGTCAGATAAGTAATAATTTGCAAAATCTCAAAAGGAGTGGAAACGTACTGAATTATATTAGGGAAAGGCTAAGGCCTTGAAATCCTATAATCTAGGAAATGTTTATGCATCAGAGAGAAACATCTATTATAGTAACGATTTAATAGAGAACAAGAGTATGCATTAGTAATATGTAGTATAATAATAAAACCAAATTACTTTAATGGAATGACAAAATATTTGAGTTAAAAAACCTCTCATTTTCACCTTATTGACAGTGAAAGTCGGAAGTATCTCAATTGAAATTAACCTGTTTGCTATATCTCTCCTTCTGAATGCTGTGGAATTTTTAGTGTGCTGTGAAATTACATGGTTAATTTGTGACTCAGAAGAGTAGAAGCAGAGAAGTACAAGGATAAGCGCAGAATCCAGAAGAAGTTTAAACTAGTTTACATGACAGAATGGTCACTGCCAGCACACAGCTTGAATAACTGCAGTGGGGAATCTACAGAAATACTATCCCAGTGAATGAGGATTTTAAATAAATGTTCACTTTCTCTTCATAATGGCTTGTATGAAGGTCTCTTTAAATTCTCTTTTTTTCCTTGGACTCTGAAAAATGGATCTAAGTTACGAGAGAAGACATTTACGTTGAGTGTGTGAGCATTAGTCCAAAGCAACCGCCCAATTTCATTTCTCCCCAGCTGTCAGAGCCTGCATCAGAAACTGGAATCAGTACTAAGCAAAGATCTGAAATCTACTTTCATCTTTATGAGGAGTTCTGCTGTTTGCAGGGCAGACTGGTTTCCTGGGAGGCTCTCACCAGCATGCAGAATTGAACTCCATGAAGACTGGCAGTAACAAAAGCATCATGCTTTAACAGCTGTGTTGTTCTCTCACATTCATTTTGTTTCTTTTATATCTAAATCAACATCTTGTATCAAGAAATCGCGTTTATTGGCGAGGCTCTCACCAGCATGCAGAATTGAACTCCACAAAGACTGGCAGTAACAAAAGCATCATGCTTTAACAGCTGTGTTGTTCTCTCACATTCATTTTATGTTTCTTTTATATCTAAATCAACATCCTGTATCAAGAAATCGCATTTATTGGCTCACTATCCTCTGTGTAGAAAGGTACAAAAGCACCAGTAGCTTGGACTTGACTGTCCTTAAAGGGACTGGTTTCTGTTTTGTAAGAAATCATGTTTTTATCTCCCAATTCATGGAATTATGTCCAGAAACTTGAAACCAAATTTTATCACAGATTATTTCTATACTAAAAAAGCACCACCTGAAATTTAACATCATTTAGTCAGAACTTTCTAAGAATAAAACTAGATGTTAATCTGGCTATGTTTATTGTTGCACAGATTCCATTTTCTTCCACTGAAATCCAAAAGGAGACAAGCCAACAAAGGAAGTAAATGGAGCTGGTCTTTTGATGCTTTTATTTCATAAATTATGATAGGTTTTTTCTAGTTCAGGTAAACCCTTGTTGTTACTGTCTGTGCACTGATTTACTTGTGTGAGCAGCCTTAAGTTCTAAAGCCAGTTGGCTGGTGATCTTAATACATATTCCATTTGAAAGCGAGGACTTTATGCCGTGTGCCAAGAGCAGAGCTGCTTAACAAAAAGCCTTTAATGTTAACCAGGGCATATGGATTTGCTTCTTAGTCCATCGCAGATGTCCTGCAGGACCTGTGAATGACTTTTTACCCTTTGCTTAGCTTCTTCACCTGCAAACCAGGATTCTTCCCTACCTTCTCAGTAGCTGCTCTGTAGGTAAAAAAATTAAAAATGGCAAGATATCAGCATATTTTGGCAAGGAGGACACTCTAACTACCAGCTGATGTATAACAAAATTCTTCTCAGTGTTGGTTTAATGTGGTCTTAGTAAAAGCCTACCTTTAAAAGCATAGTTCGAGTAACAGACTTGAATTTGGCAGGCACACCACCTTTGCATACTATTTTTCAGCAAATGAAAATTAATCTGATCAGATTCAGAGAGATACAAAATACAAAAAGATCACTGTAGCCAAACTCTAGATCTGGTAAGGAGGCTATGTTTTGGAAACTTTGTCAGAACTGGCGGGAAGGGTATTTTCTACACACAAAAGAAGATGAACTTTAGAAAAAGCTGTTGCGTGGTCTGGCTTATGAATGCAGAGGTGTAAACTGTTGCTGCCTTTCTGGGAGATGATCTTCCAATTTATAGAATCAATGTTGAATTAAATCAACCCCTCTTTATCAGAGCATCCAGGAATTGTGCCACTTTTTTTTTTTTTTTTTTTTAATTTCAGGTTCTAGCTCAGCAATTTTTTAATATTAATAAATCAGAAAAAAACACATTTAAATATCTTCTGTTATCCAAAGGTCAACCAAATGCGTAACTGTAATGATCATTTATTGTCTTCTGTAAATATGTCTAGAAATAGAGTCCAATGACAGACTCCTAAAAATTATCTAATTACTCCATTTTCAATACACTAGGTTGTTGGTGTGGCTCAAGCAATCAATAAGAAATCTGGAATTGGTGGCACTTTCACTGAACAAGATGAAAAGGTATAAAAGCCAGACATTTATGTCTCTTCTATTTTCATAGGGGAATGGGGAACGGATATGTTATTTCTTTTTATGCTGATAAGAGATTTTAAAGCTACTAAAAATTAAACATCTCTGAAAAATTAAAAACTTCTGGTAATACTGCAAATTTATTTCTTTATGAGGCCATGACAAATGTGGATGTGAAACAGTTTAATTTCTGGATCAGCATGGTATCTCTAATACATTTCTGAAACACAGGCTTACTCTACTGAAATGAACTGTAAAACTGTTTAATAACTTTTAATGGACATCATTTTTTATGAATTGGTTCTAACTCTCCTAGCATCCCCAACAAACATATTTCGAATATTAAAATTTGTGTAGCGGTTCTTTTTTAAATACTGTATCACTTCTCAATACAGCAGTTGCAGGAAAAGAAAAAGCTTTGGATAAATTATGAACAATAAATGAGATAATCAGTAGCACAGACAGCACCTTGATTTCTGATTCTCACACTGCATTTGCTTTCCAAACTTTTCCAGACTTCACCTTCAGATTGGTATAGCAAAAAACAGGCTGCACTCAGGCTGAAGAAGTTGACTTAACCCTCAGCAATTAAAAAAAACAGAATTAGCCTTTTTCTTTGAAAACCTTCCATTTAAAACAAAATGTATACAGAGTATCTGCAGGATATCAGAACTAATCTCATCCCAAAAGGGGAAAAAAAATTGTGGTTTTGCTATGTTAGCAGAACTTTATTTCCACCTTCCAAGAGACTGAATTCCCAAAAAAAAGAGGCTGATTATCTGCACTCTGTTTTTCTAGATAAAGTATGCATTGTTGCAAAATTAGTTGACTCCTCTGAGCTGCTTCTTGTATCAGTCTGACTTTTACCAGGATAAACTGTGAAGATCATTTGTTTAAAAAAGGGAGAAGAGATTATTGAGTGTCCTGGTTGAGGAAATAACAAATTATGAGTAACTGAAAAAAGAAACCCTGAATGTGTGGTTACTAAAAATAGCTTTAAAATATCAATTAATACTTCAAAGTGAAAACAAAAAATTGCAGTAGCTTATCTTTGAATAGAGTTAAGATGCTATAAGACATTATCTTCATGAGGTGTTGATGTTTTTTGTCTTCAGGATTTTGCCGCCTATTTGGCATTTTGTGGAATTGTTCTTCACAATGCTCAATTGTATGAGACATCTTTGCTTGAAAACAGGCGTAATCAGGTACGATCAACAGGTTTGTCCCAAGAATACAGAAATTATGGTGGTTAGCTAGTAATCAGTGCCTGCTCCTGATATTTCTCATATGGTAGTTATTCCTTGGCTATTTTTAATTACTCTAATTGAATGCTGTGTATCTCTGATAAAGCTCTAACTGCACTGAGAAGTAGCTGGGCGCATTCCAGCTTGGGCTGCAAGACGTGCACCAATAGGGGAAGAAGGTAAAAGCTACATGTCGGAAATTTCACTTTGTGTCAATATACTTGATGTTGCCTGAAGTTATCCTGTGTCTCACTGTATATATTATACAACCAGAGGTGGATGTAATCCAGAAATTTCAGACAGAATTATCCCTATGGAATGGTAGAGGTTATACCGATTGCTCTTTTAGTTTCCTACAACTATAAGTAGTCACCAACCATATTTTCAGTAATGATCAGATGGAAAACTGACTTTCCTTCTGATTAATGTAACTGTATTTTGCAAAAGTAACAGTATTTTGCAGACATCTTTATAACTGATGGTTATTAATGCCATGGCCTTCATGGGTGGAATATCTCTGCCATACATGGTATGAAAAGGTTTTGGAGAAACAACTAGGCAGCAGTTTTTTAAAAAAATGTTCTGGTAGGTCTGAGTTTCCAAGTGATGATCAGTGTTTGCAAATTGGTAAGAATTAGGATGATCTTTTCAAATTGTCTCCATGCTTCTTGTGAGGAAAACGGGAATATAGTATGAGCACATATGAGTAGCTAAGTACTTCAGAAGCAGCTTTGAAATACAGCAGACTATCTAAATTATGTTTTCACCAAATGAGTTCTTTAGGATCTGTTAGAATTACAACAGATAAAAATTGTGTTCAAAAGTCAATAAATTTAAATATCATTATTGTTTTTAGAATGCACACATGAGCCATGGGAAACTGTGGGGTTTCCTAAGGACAAATAACTGTGTTGCCTGGATTTCTCAGGTTTCATTTGATGAGCTGTTAATGCCTAAATCTGTTCTGTCCCTCTGAGCAGGGGATCAGCCAACTATGCTATCTATTTCTTCCATCAAAAGTGTCAAACTGGCTATTATTTACTGTTGCCTTGCAGTCTGTGTGAGACCCAAAGCTTAATTTTTATCACAGACATACATGTTGACTTCCTTGTTTCAGGGAAGAGGAGAAGAATCAAAGACAGCAGTAATGATAATTATTGCTTAAATCACAGTCAGTCAAAATTTCACAAACGACCTTTTCCCCAGGTGCTTCTTGATCTTGCCAGCCTGATTTTTGAAGAGCAGCAGTCTTTGGAAGTAATTCTGAAGAAGATAGCTGCCACTATAATATCCTTCATGCAAGTGCAGAGGTGTACCATCTTCATAGTGGATGAAGATTGTACTGTGAGTATTTTTTTCTGTTTAAAGGCAGAAGTGCATATTCCCTGGGGGCAGTATGGGCTTCCGTCCATTCTGACTCAATAGCACTTCAAAGCCATAGTACATTCTCTTGCCTTTTTGTTCTCTGCCTTTTCTGTTATGGCATCTGCTCAGGCGAGGTGTTGACTTGGGAGGCTTCGGTCTCTGTGCCATTTTATGCAGGAATTTTGCATTACCTGTTGGTAAACTGTGGCTCTAAGCTCTCTCCTATGGCGTAGATCTTGAATGTTGAACTCTTTCATAACTCATTTTCTTGGCTACTGATGTAGAAGAGAAAAAAGGAAAAGGTTGGGAGAAAAAAAATGTGCACTTTTTATTTCTTGAGTATACCTAAGCTGGGAGTATCTAAGCAAGGTATCTAACTGGAATCATGGCCTGTCCCAGGTTCCTGGCTCACGGAAGGAAAACACAACTCCTTTCCAGTCTGCCCACCTGTATTTCCTTCCTATTGAAAACAGGCTGCAGAATAAGGAGCAGGATATTCTGTTGCGTGCCTTGGTCTTGTACTGGCATGGCTAGTTTTACCTTTACTGCTCTTTATAGCTATGGGTTTACTAAGATCTGGAAGTGAGAAAGCTTTTCTGGGTTTGTAGCACAGAAGAAACACACAGCATTTGTGATGGTCTGACATAATCGCATCTCACTGTATTTAGAAGAGTCACTCCTGCACACGAGAATACAGAAGAGGAATTTACATCATTTTTGTGTTCACATATTCACACTGTCCTTGCAAGTTAGATAAACTTCAGCACCTAGTTTGCAGTCTGTAGTTTGAATCTTTAGTACAAAGAGAATCTAATTTAGGCTTCTCAACTGTTAAAAAAAGCTGCATGAAAAGTAACACGGAGATCAATCAATATGTGGAAGAGGTTTTGATGTCCTCACTTGTCCAAGCAAAGCAGGTCTAGCATTGGATGAATGTTAAAATACAGAAGTTCTGTGCTGAGAGAGAAATTCGGCACAGCTTGTAAATACTGGCTTTTGTTCTCAGAGTGATCAGCAGAGATCCAAGATACTTCGATGGTAGTTAAAGCTGTATCAAAAGATATTTTTGTGGTAGGATCCTGCATGCTTGCTGCTAGATGCGAAATGAAGTTAAATAATTTTATATTTGTCTTTATTACAGAATAGGTTTTGATAACTGTAACAAGCTTTACATTAATACTACTATTCTCACTTATTACAACCTTATACACCTATACATTAAAATATCCTCTCCGTATTCCAGGATTCATTTTCTAGTGTGTTTCACATGGAATCTGAGGAATTAGAAGATTCATCTGAAAATGTGAAGAGGTAAACTAATTAATTCAAACTTGTGTTCATCCGAGGAGAATGTTGAAGAAACTATGCATTTATATTTTTTTTCATAATAACAGAACTTATTTCCACTGGGTACCATGTATTGCTGCTATTTTTACAGAGAAGGTTTTGCCCTGAAATGTATATAGGCAAACTCTATTACCTTAAAAAGGTCACACTGAGCAGAACAGGAGAGTCACGCCTGATCTCTTCACTTTGTCAGGTCTAAGTACATAGTTGTATAGCAAGGCTAAGCTATAGGGATCTACAATATGGGAGAAGTAAAAATCTAAGTTGGTGGCCTTCTCTAAAACTGATCTGTAAGAAATCTGCGTAGATGACTATATTGTAGAGTAGGCATATCCACATTAGTAGATACTATTCAGTGTACAACACTATTTATTATTATAATAAATTATTTTAATCATTATTCTTATTTCAAAGACAGAGAAGCTGAGTCAAAGAACACAGCTGACTTAATGAAGAATAAAGTCCTAAAGTTCTAACTTTAACTCATCTTTGAGAAACCATTAAGAATTTCAACTGGGAGGAAGGGAAAGATGCAGAAATAGTTGAATTAAAATACCCAGATTAAGTAGTTTCCAAATTTAGTCTGAACCTCTGTATTGAAGTTTGAAATTACTGTCTCCATTACCTTTCTGTGTCATCAAAAACAGGTGTTTCAAATACTGTCAAAAGAAACACAGTTGTATATAAAATGCACTACTACAGACACACTGTGCAGAGAGAAAATGGAGATTTCTGTGTGGCTTTGATCTTTTTTGCAGTGAACATTTGTTACATGAAACTTAATTCCATATATTTGAAAATTATGTCCAAAGTGTGTGGCTTGAGCAACTAAAAACTGTTGGGCTGTATTATGATTTTCAACAATGTACAACCAGAAAGGACAGAGGTACAGCAGCCTAGAAAGATCATGGGGTGAAAGAGAAAGTTCCTGTTTACTTCCTCTTATACGCAATGGGAATGGTAAAGAGAATTTACCCCTCCTATTTATTATCTCTTTCAAGGTTACTAGTTAATGCACTCAAAAAATAATTCACTGCTTGTATAGGCCATCAATTAATTATTTCTCATAACTAATAGGGATCTTGGAGGCTTAATTGCATATCTGAATCTTGTTCATGACAGCACAATTATATGCCACGGACTGTCCTATGAGTCAGCTATTGGACTTAGAACTTCTGCTGTGCTTGAAGGGCACGATTTTGGGCAATAGCAGAAATATAATGACATGGATTAGATGGGAAGTATGACTTTATATAATTAAATTTCAGGCTTATTATGTAATTAAGGACCCTGAATCAGACTTGTTTTCAGAATTGTGAGGCATTGCCCTGTATAACCAAGTTTGTGAAATAACGAAAGAATAATTCCTTTCCTCCAGCACTGTGAACATCCTTACATCAGAAGGATAACTAAAGCCAAGCTAGATTGGAATAGGTTTGTTTTGCCTCCAAAGCAGGCAAAATGTCCAAAGAGTTGAAATGCTTTAATTAAATGCATCATGGCTAAAAAGCAGGAGATTGTTGATTCTGTAAAGATATTTTATGTCCTAATTTGGAAAAAACAGCTCTACTTCAGTAACAGAATCCCCATGCAACTGACAATGCCTTTACTTTTAGAACAAATTTGAAATTAACTTAAAAGCAGAAAATTCACCAGTGTTACCAGCTGCACTTTGTTTAAAGAATACGTGAATTTAATCCAGTACTGATTTTTCAAGTGTGTAAGATTCGTGAAGGGAGTTTGTTTTCAAAAAGTTCTGTTTATTTCAATATAAACCCAGTTGTTCATTCTTTATACTTACCTGCATAAACTGTAATGATTTTTTTATTTCTTAAGTTTGGTGTTCAGTGTTAACGCTGTTGAATGTTAAAGAAATGCTGGAACATATAAATCAATCCACTCTGCACTTTTGTGATGACAGCTGCATCAGGATACAGGATTTGAAGTAATCTCCATTACATATCTATTGATTTTATTCTTTCATCATACAGGAAAGATATTACAATTATCTGCTTTGCATAATGAAATGACCCGTTGTTGTACTGAGCACATAATAATAATGTTGTATCCTTCAGGGACTATGATACAAACAAAATCAATTATATGTATGCTCAGTATGTCAAGAATACGATGGAGCCTCTCAACATCCCAGATGTCTGCAAAGATAGAAGATTTCCCTGGACAGTAAGTAAAATAAGCTTAGATTCGAAATTCAGAAATGGAAAATATTTTTCTGTTTACCTTTCAAACCTTTTTTGTTTTCCTTTTACTATTTCAGTTAATCTAATGGCCATAGTTAGAATTACACAAACATAAAGCAAGGTGCATTTGCTTGGTAAAATTCATTATGAGTGAAAAATGGTATAATACAAACAGTGAGCCAGGTGGCCAGGGGAAGGATTTATTCCTACAGCTATCATTAAAAAAGCCCAACATTCATTTGCCAATAAAGAGTAAAAACGTGTCCTAAAGTCCAGCTGATCTCTTTCCAGCTGCTCTAAGTGGAACACTTTGTCTTGGTGCAAAGGTAATGAAAGCAGCTATTATAAAATTAGCACATTTTAGCACAGTTACACAAGTCACTGTAAAATCCTACTGAATGAAGATTATCACATCATTACCTGTATTATTATTCACCAAAGGCTGTATCAGATCCAATGTTTATTATCCTGTCCAGCCAAAGATGTGCAAACTCTTTGAAGACGTGGTTGCTTGTTGAAGGAGTATGTAAACCAAGAATAGCTGTAGACCCCAGCTCTACAGCTTTTTCACTTCAGTCACTTAAACATTAGTCTTTAAAATTGTAATGGTTTTGTTTGTTTAACAGAATGACAATGCAGAAAATGTAAGTCAACATGTAAAGAGTTTGCTGTGTACTCCAATTAAAAATGGGAAGAAGAATAAGGTGATAGGTAGGTATCTTTACAAAAATTTTTTCTACATTTCATAGAAATATTTCTATGCTCCCCAGTAAAATCTCAGCAACATGGAATATCAACCCAAGGGGTTCTGTAACACACTATATACTATGTAAGACTATTATTATAAGTCTACTTTTTTAAGATTAGTATACCCAAAACCAGAATTTGGGAAGTGGGGTGTGCAGATGGGTGTGGGGTGGGAAAAAACTGCCCACAGGAAAACCAAGCAAATCTTATGGGCAAGAAAGTTGAAAAGAACTTTCTTATTCTCCTGACTTCAGCATTTTTCAGGTATGTGGTGAAAACTTTACAGAATCTTTCTGTGGTTTTATAATTATGTCCCAATAAAAGAATTTTGAGTTACTTTGATTGTAATGTATGGAACCCTCAATGCTTTGGGGAAGCTTTTGAAAAGGTTACTGTCAGAGACTCTTAAGTACTACATAGTATATTTACTGCAGTTCTCTCATCTGTTAAGAGACAGTTCCGTGCATCCAAATGCTATGTCTTTTAAGAATTCATTTCTCTTGTGGCTTATTCACTGTTGAGTCTTAATCTTGTGTTCATTACATCACAGTTGCTATGGAAATAATTGTAATGTCATAAACAGTACCGAACAGAGATCTGAAAGTGTGTTCCATGAGATTTTCCTACAGAGTTTTATAAGTCAGCTTCTTTTTCCCAGGAAAAGTTAATCTTGTTCTTAGTGAATCCTTATTTGCTGGGATTAAATATCTTTACTATCGTTCAAGCATCTTGTCATCTCATTCCAGTTCAGAATCCTGTTTGCAATATTCAGATACCACAACCCCTGCCACAGCAGCTTACAGCTACCCCTACAGTATTCTTCCTGATGTCTTTAGAGGAGACTCTGATACTAAGTTCCCCAAACAGAATGTAATTTGGAAACAGGACACTGTTACATTGTCACCAGACATTAAACCTTCTACATGCAAGGCCAATGTTCTAAAAACACAGTTTGCATGTACGTGCTACATTCTTTTCCTCAGTTTTCCTACCTACTGAACAGGGACTATTCATACTTGCTCCCTCACAGACATTTTTCGTTTTAATTAAAAAACCTCACAGAGCTTTTTTAGTCTGTAAATATGGAGTAATAAAATGCTAGAATGCTTTCATATAAAAAATTATTAGCACTGACAAGACCTTACAGTAGCTGCTGATTATGATTACTGTTGGTACTGATGTAAAATAGTATTCATTATAATTTCTTCCCTGCTCATAAGCAGAGACGAGATCTGGCCTCCCAGACCTTACGGTGACGAAGTGTAAGGCATTTGGGTTCTGTTCGTATATCCTGTGTAAATTAGGAGTAGTTCTCCTGATGCAAGAAAACCTAAAAATTGTTAAGAGTGTTCTGGAAACACCATACTAAATAGTTATCTTCTGCTAGTTAAATGCATATTTCATATACTAATCTTTCTGCTGCAAAATATTCTTCATAAAATACATAAAGTATACAAACTGGCACGCAATAGCAATTTATAGAAAATTAAGAATTTTTCATTTAGTAATTTTTTTCAGAATGTTTAATTTGCTTGTTCTTTTCACTGGGATAATTATTTGCAGTTGGCCAGGAAAATGTTAGCTTTTATCCTCAAAACTGTTAGTACTCGAACTCATGAGGCTGAGAAGACATTTGGATGCACTTAAGATGATAATCGCCCCCAAAGCAGTTTCGGTCAAAACAACGTATACTTACAATGCAGCTACTTTAATCAATATTCTGATTTCTTAGCAGAAGCTGCCATCTGCTAGGTAAAATTGAAGGGAGGTATATGTGTGAATTTCCCTCTGCTTAAAATGATGTTGGGGATTTAAGCTGCAGCCAGGCTTTGTAGAAGTTACCTGTCAGATCTTCCAGTGGCATGTGCACAGAAAAGTCCAGAAATTTTTAACAGAAAATAAACAGATGCAACAATAAACAAGTTTGAACCTAACAAACTGAATTCAGTGAGGTGCTTTTCAATGACCTCAGTAGCTTTTGGAGCAGGCTGCAATTCAATCACATCCTCATATTCAATCAGCAAGTATACTTAAACTTCAAGCCTCAACTTGGGATTCTCTGTTAAATTCACGTATTTAAAAAAATTTCCAGTACTGACTAAAATAAGGAAACGAAAACTCTGTGTACCACTGTTCTGACTTTCATAAATGTTCTTCTGGCATGGTTACAAAAATTTAATTAGCTTCCAAAGGACAAATTGTCTTTAGGGATTAAATCAACTTAGAATACTATTAATAATAGAAGTCAGGATGAAAACCACCCTAGAATTTCACAAGATAATCAAGTCTGTAAAGCCCTACATTTTTGTTTTATAAATCCTAATACATACTTTTTGAGTCTACTAGGTAATATATAATGTTTTTATATAGTATTTATTCTGTAATACAGTGAAATTAGCCAAAAAACTTCAGGGAAAATTCTACAGCACTCCTGTGTGTCACTTTTATGTATATTGGTGATTTGTACTGTAGGCTAAACTGTCCTGGACTCATTTTTTCTCTTGATGTTCCATACAATTGGTGATATTTCAGCATTTCTCTGTATTACTTCTTTTAATTTCTGTATCCTGGCATAGGGGTTTGCCAGCTTGTGAATAAGATGGAAGAAAACTCAGGCAAAATAAAGGCTTTCAACAGAAATGATGAACAGTTCCTGGAAGCATTTGTCATCTTTTGTGGCTTGGGGATCCAGAACACACAGATGTATGAAGCTGTAGAAAGAGCCATGGCCAAACAGATGGTGACATTAGAGGTGAGCTCAAAACCTAGGTGGTCATTAATTAGCCCAAGGCAGATCCTAATTTTCTCCAAACCCTGTCTATTCTACACAAGTGCAACTACTCACATGGATACTGAACAGAAATTGTTCTTCCCCAGGAGAACAGCATTTGGCCTGTTGAGTTGCACAGGAATTCTTCTGCTTGTTTCCGTATCTGTCAATTGTATTCTAACTTTATTCATGAGATTTAGTGGTGAGCTGAATGTATCTTTTCCTCTACATGAGGCTACACACTGGCAACACAGCTGGTTTGTTCTGTTGCCTAGGAAGAGGAAATGGTTTGGGGACTAGGGGCTTCCTTTTCTTGTCTGAGGTTTTCTGTGATGATTTTGGCTCAGGCCTTTAGACAAACCGGTTTGTGGAGTAGCATTATTGTAGGTTTTCAGCAGTTTCCTCAGACTGCATCAAACTATATCAAGATGAACGTCATCTGGTCTCAACCTTTGAATTGGTTACTGTTAAGTTTAATAGCTAAAGAGGGCTTTAGTCTGAGAAGCTGAATTACTCAGAGGTGATAACTTGAAGCTGAAAGTGAAAAATGTGTAGACTTTGGATGTTGTAACATTCATTATGTAAACAGAGTGTTTGCAGAATTTTTAAAATGGGGATTATGTACCCTGTAGCCTCTAAAGGAAATGTTACAACTGTCAAATAAACCTGTGTTAAGTCATGGTAAATAAAAAGGTGGGAAAATTATTGTCAAAATAATTTCAGCGCTTTAAAAAAAAGAGCTGTTTGCTTATATGGCAAATCAGCAACTCTCTCTCCTACTTTAACACTTTATAGATAATATAGGAAATCCAGACAGATTCTAGGTTAGTACATAAAATGGCTTCTTTAAAAAAAAGTTAGTCTCTAGTTGCTAATAAAACTCCATAACATTTTCACATCCTGTGTTCTCTAACAGCTAAAAAATATGAGCTTATTATGTTAATTTAAAACAAACATCTTTCAGACTTCTTTGCCAAGTTTCAGTTAGGGGAAAACTTTCCTTTATGTCTGAATAGACTCCTGAAAGGACTATTATGGCAACGTCAGGCTCGTAATTATAGTTGTTTCATGTATTATTTGTCTTTGAAAGTGAGGCGTCAAAATGTCAATACCAAAAATCAAAGTTCTTTGCTTTTTTATAGAAACTATTTACATTTTCTTGGCCTAATTATCTCAAGAAGATCCTGTGCAGTGGGAGATTTGTGAAAGCTGCAGATACATCCCCATACACTTTCAGAGAGCTCCCTTAAAAGCAGTGCAGGCCCTGCACAGACACTAGATTTCATCAGCAAATATAATGCAGGGCAATGCAGTGCAGCTGCAAGCTGAAAATTCTGCTTTAGGAAAAATACCTTTTTATCACATTGCTCTTCTTTTTGTACTAAAGGCTGCTTTTCTCTTTCTGTAGGTTCTCTCATACCATGCTTCTGCTGCTGAGGAGGAAACGAGGGAGCTGCAGGTAACAGCGGTAATTGAATTTTTTACTATTACATTAGAAAGATTCCATTAATAGAACAAAGTGCAGTCCTTTACACAAGGTGTGATGCCTGAACATAGAGAAGCACATTTTTCAGAAATAAAAATTATACTGAAGCTTAAACTGATCAGTTCTTCACATAAAAGGGAAATGTTACAATGCCTACAATGAAGGATACAGGTTGTCCAGAGAGCTGCAATTACAGGAGAACCAGAAGTATACTGAGTGCCACTCTCATGAGTTTAAGTGACAGTAACAGCTGATGCAATATTAGTATCAACTCACGAGGATTAAGTATTTCAGAAGCAAAATGTTGAGAACTCTCCTTTCTACAGCTAAGTCTGATGTATATTTTATGTCTTTGGTACATCTCAAGCATCCCAAGTATGGGTGCAGCTTTATGGCCTTACACAGAAATTCTGTATTTAATTGTTAATGCAATTTTTTTTTTATTTTTATGGTTACTTTTCTGTGCAGTGTCCTGTTCTGCTCACGTTAACTCTGTGTTTAGAAACCACAGCCTAAGGAATAACTACAGCTATGATTTCAAGCGCAGTTCAAAGCACAGCCTGTGCTTCGTCTCCCTAATTCTCTCTGTTGGAGCATATGTTCTGGGCAAATATCAGCCCTGCTGCACAAAAGAAAATGGGAGGGGTGGAGGGATGGAGAGGAGGGTAGACATAGGGGACCACAAGCTGGATAGTAAGGGACCGGACTGGACAAGCAAGGTGCCACAGAACAAGGAACAAGACTAGGGATAATTCTAAAATAGTTAACATCACACAGATTTTGAACCTCAGTCCTACCACGCTGTTGCTCATCGATAAGGAGGCACTGACAAGACCTGTATGCTACACATCTCCAGTGGTTTCTGTTCAGGGCTTGTGTTGGAATCTTTGGTGGTTACACCTCTACTGCTAAATAATACAGAACCATGATAAACCTAGCACTGAACCAGTGTCCACATCTACTGCTTAACTGTCCACATGCTTCCTAGCACAATCTTGGCCCGTGTCAACCACCATTTTCCAAGGCGATACGAGAGCACATTGTACCAGAGCACATCGCCCAGGCCATCTCCAATGGGCAGGTGTTACACACCACACATCCTCACGTCACATCCCAGGGCATGAAACAAACATCCTCATTTTCATGCTATGAAGCCACCACTCTGAACTTTAACAGAGCAGTCCGATTAGTTCAGATAATTTGAGCTGAAAAAAAATAAAACAGGCACTGAAAATAAGGGTATCTTAGAACTTCAGGGCACTACATGGAGCCCAAAGCAAACCGTGGGCAAATCTTGCTCCTGAAATGTCTATTGTCCCCTTTGAGATAACGGGATCATTGCTGCCTTTTTCCTTTGTCTCGGTACTCAAAAATGTATCAACTTCTATCAACTTCTGTCATTTTTTTTTCCTGAAACTATTTGATGTTTCTGATTTTTGATAAAGGTAGCAGTACTTGAGATAGGGCCAAGTAAGTTTCGAGATCAAGTCATTAATGTTAAAAACATCAATATTTCTGTTCATAGGACAAGTAGTGACAAAGGGAATACCTGCCACCCAAGCTGAGAAAGCTAACTTACTTCCTTAGTATCTCCTCTAAGTCATTGGAGAGAGTCGGGTGATTCTAGAAAGCAGTTCAGAGAAAGTGATTATTTTAAGTACTGATTCAGGGAAATATATAAGCGTGGCAGTTCCTTTCTTATGTAAATTATTCTTTCCCTGCAGTCAAACTGTCAGCAAGGTGGCAAGGTGTGGAGAACTTTTTTTCTTTTTCAGTGCACTGACAAAGACTTTCCAAAAACTTCTGTGCAGTTCTTGTGCTAGTGTTTTCCCCTAATTAAGAATAACCTCTCCCACATTACTGGGATATTTTTGTGTTGATGATCTTCCCATCACAGAAAGACTTAAGTCTTGAAATCAGCATGTGGAGCAGCTAACTAATATAACCACCTTCCCTGAAGTGATAGATAGATGTTACTCATAGTTTGTTCAAGGCTTCAGATTGTACAACTTTGATTTAATGTGATCCAGGTGCCTAAATTACAGTGATGTAGCAAGTCCCTGTCCGTAAACTGAACCAGCCCTGGTGGCTAAAGCTAACACATTGCATATTACAAATTTTATTTGACTAGTGACAGTCAGCTGATGAATGGCAATTCAGTTGGCTTCAGAATTTTATTAATTTTTATTTTGCCCTCATATAATTGTATCAAGCCAGCCACAAGAGATTAAACCAATGTTTCTGGATATACCTTCTTGCAATTTGCTTTGTTTTGCTTCTAAATAATCTGATAGCACGGAAAAAAGATGCTTCATCAGGCAATTGGACTAGATGATTGTTGTAGGTCCCTTCCAACTGAAACTATTCTATTCTATTCTATTCATTATCAGCCTTGTGTAATAGGCTGCAGTCAAATTTTTCACTTTAATCATCATTTCCACTTACTACACAATGTCATATTGCATCAGTCACTTCCTTTGAGCCTGGATACTATCTGCAACCTGTGTTTTATCATACAAATCAAATGAAACAAAGTGAAAGTGTTTATAGTTGCCACTCAGTTACCACAGTGGTCCCACCTTTTCCTTAGTCTTTCTTTTGCTGCCAGTGTATTTATAGAAACCATTTTTGTTGGCCTTCCCATCCCTCACTAGTTCCAGCTCAAGCTGAGCTTTGGTTTTCCCAACTTCATACCTGCACACTTTGGTAATATCTCTATATTCTTCCCAGGTAGCCCATCCCCACTTCCTCCTTCTGTGCACTTCATTGTTTCATTTGAGCTCACTCAGGAATTCCCTGTTCATCCATGCTGGCCTTTTACCATGTTCACTTGACTTCCTGCATGTCAGAATGGACTATTCTTGTGCTTGAGGCTTTCCTTGAAGGTAATGCCTTGGCATATGAAATGAAGTTATAAGCTTTATCTGTAGGTTTTTCAATCATAATAGAAGACAAATTTGTAAAACTATTTTTATACTTAGCCAGGTAACAAAATGGAGTCACTACTTAATTATTCACTATTAATTACTATTATTACAATGCCTATAGTAAGCAATAGTAATGAAAAAGTCAGAGTTACACAAAGAGGGGAATCAGTACATTTTTTTCATTTCTTGACTATTTCCTGCTGTTTATAATATTCCTGAGGTGGAGAACTTGAGCAAGAGGTTGTAGTTTGGTCAGTGCTTACAGAAGCTAAGCATAGCTCAATAACTCAAAATTAAAATAGCTGATGAACTTTCATGATGTAAAATGGGTGGCAGATAGCGCTATTGGCTTCAGTAAGTGAAGAGGGAATATCTCATCAAGTTAAATAACACTCAAATAGCTATAGACTGCAGTTTTTATACCTCAGCTGAAATTAAACTTATTGTTGTGGCTGTCAAAGGATCAAGAAAGGGAAAGATAAATTATGAATGAGGTCAGAACACAGGCATGAGGTGTTCTGTTGAGCTTCTACTGTGTCCTTCCAAACCCCTTTCCTCGTGAAATACCAGACTGCAGTTGCAGTTTTTCAAAATCATGTCATTAGAGTTGCATTATTTTCCACTGAGCATACAGGCCTGGGGGTTCTTTCACATGCTCATAGGTGAAACACCACAAGAATCCAAATGAGGGACACAAAATTACTGGTACAAGAAGTGTGTAAGAATGTTGGTGGGGTTTTTTATGTGTAAATACTACTTTTCACAATCTTTCATGACTTTACAATTCTGACATACTGGAAAGATAACAGCAAACTTGTATGGAACAGAGGTTAGTACACGTAGTTATGGGGAGAGTTGATCTGCAGGTTACATGCAATAATACTGGAGATTATGGCACATGCTTCCTTTTCAGTGTCTCAGCCTTCTAGGACAAAGTTCCTCATGCTGGGGAAATGTTTTTGCCTAGAATTACAAAGAGGAAGATAAACATAGGTTTATTGCTTTCACCATTTCAGTTTTCCCTGATTTTCTTTTAAACCACTGTCATATTGAGGTGAAACAACTGTAAAGAAATAGCACTGAAAACTCCACCTTTTATTCTAATGAAAAACTGATACTAATTTTTGTTCTGTAGTGTAAGACCTACCATTTATTTTTTTAGCATGTGTAATATCTGTACTTTGAAGGGCAACCAGTACCTATACTCTGAAATTTATAACCAGAAAAAGTAGAGTTGTAATACATGGAAAACATGGAGATACTACTGATTTTAATAAAAGTTACAGATTTTTTAAAGTGCAGGGTTGGGATTTTTTTTCTACTTTATAATTTCAGATTTCCTACTGAAGGTTTATGATTATGTACCCAAGTTACATTAAAAAACATTGCCCGAAGATTTTAAACATCATTGATCAAAGGTGAACCCTATTTTTTCCGGTTTCTAGTCCTGAGAAAGCTCTGCCTGTGGACATGTTCTGACTACTATAGTGCTGAATGTGGATTCTGTTAATTCTTTGTTCTAGCTAGTCTACAGTGACAACCCTTTCCTCACTGTTTTCAGAAAAATTTAATCAGATACAGATTTTTATGTCTGCATGTACATAAAAACAAACATGTAACTCCACTGCCTTATTTTATCAGTCTCCCAATTTCATACATACTCTTGGTTACAATTTGCCTTAGGTGAGTTAGGTAACAGACTGTTTGACCAGGTAGTCCTTTCCTTATTCTCTTGATGTACGGAAAACTGTGTATTAAATCTAAGCAAATAAGGTCATGTTAAACAAGAAAGGCTAAGGAAAGATAAATAAGAAGTAATCATCCGGTTTTAGTATAATGTGAAGGTAAAATTTAGTATCTCGCTACGCTGTTAAAAAGCAGATATTTATGTTATGCTTTCTTTTTCCTAAGGCTAAGTTTTGTTCTCTTATTCTTCTCTAGGCTGCCGTAGTACCATCCGCACAATCTCTCAACCTAACTGACTTCAACTTCAGTGATTTTGAGCTATCAGATTTTGAAACAACACTCTGTACGATTCGAATGTTCACAGACCTCAACCTGGTGCAAAATTTCCAAATGAAACATGAGGTATGAATGCTGTCAAATGCTGCTTAACATAAAGAGACAACTTAAGTATTAGAAAATTGGGAGAATAGTGAAACAAGACTACAGTAAATATTAAGGAGTAGTTAGCAAACTGGGAAGGTATTTAAAGTGGGCAGTATTGGGGTTTGTCTTTAGTTTGGTCCTACTGAATGATTAATAACTTGGTTAATGGACTGTAAAATGCTTTTAGAAGACTTGGGGAGTGGAAGTAGAGGACTTGGTTAAAATCCAAATGAGTTTGAAAATGTATAGCAGTATTTCAAAACCAGCAAGAATAAATATAAAGAGTAACAAAAACAGTCAAATGCAAAAAATAGAAATGGTAAGCAAAATATACCTAGTGGTAATAGAGAAAAACATTTCACAGCTACTAATGTCAGAAGCTGTGTAAAAGTCAATTATGTGCTATAGTAGCAAAAAGGGGCAAATTTCATTCTTTACTGACAGAGGAGTGGTATTTAAGGCCCATGGAATAATTATATTGTAGCTCATATTTTAGGAGATACACAGAGATGCAAATTCATTTTTAAAAATAACAGCTTAGAAGACTGAGCAAAGTTTGAATGAATTAAGCTGTTTTTCTCCAGGAAGCAGAATATTGAGGAAGGAGATGATAGCAACTTTTCAGTAAGTAAAAGACTGTTATGAAAAGGACAGTGATACTGTTTTCTATGTCCATAGAAGGTAGTAAAAGTAATTAGCTTCATCCTTCCCACAGAAAAAAATGAGATTAGAGATTAGGGGGAACTTTGTAGTTATGAAGATAGTAAAAACTGAAACAGATGACTTATGTGGGCTGTGGAAATCTCCCTGGTTTTTACCAATAGATCTATTTGTAGACATGCATCTGTCAGAGGTGCTCTAGACAGGTATTCTTATTGTGCTCCTGGCCCTGAGGTAGACTAGGTAACCTCTTAGGCCTCTTCCAGTCAATACAATTTCTATTTGTAGAAACCTCATATTTAAATACTTCAATTTTTGGTTTATGTATATGGCAACAAAACTTCTAAAGTTTGCAAGATTAATTTGGAGGACTTCATAGAAAAACAAATTAGTAAAAGAAAACAGGTATTTATTTTCTAGATCACCAGTTTATAGACTGACTTAGTTCAGTAGGCTTTAAGGGCAGAAAGGAGCACTGTCTTACCTAGCCTGATCTCTTGAATATCCCAGTACTTAGTTTCACCTTTAAGAACTTGTACTTCCTTAAGGGGTATGTCCCAACAGGAGAGAGGGTGTCAGGAGCCCCGTAATGGCTGGGCTTCTAGTTCTAGTGGAGCAGTTGTAATGGATTTGCAAAACCAAAATAACACCACGATAACAGACACATGAATACACATCTCTATAGAAGCAAGAGATCATTGACAGCTTTGAAGCCTCACTTTCATCTTTCTGTACTGCAGCTAAAGAAAACTGGCAGTAGCCCAGTGCTCCTTTTTTAACAGTGGAAAGGCAGAGAACGCTTTTGTCTGGGTGGAATAATTTCTGTGGATGAATGACACTGGATTTTCATTTCTGTCAGTACAATATCTTTTACTATAAACACTACAAATAATCTTGACCAAACCAAGGCCTAGATCCTCAGCCGGCACATAACATAAAGCAGTATGCTGTATCCATTAAACCAAGGGGTCTGTTCTAGTACACATGAAATCACTATCTGACCTTCACACCTTTCACTTCCTTAGAAGTAAAGTATAACCCACAACTTGTAATACTGTTGTGTAAGACATCCAGGACATACTTTCTTCCTGCACAGAAAATACTACCCAGCAATATAGTAATCGCCATCTTTCTTTCACACCTATTTGCTTTCCAAAGTCCAATTCTGCTTGTCTTTTGACAAGCTGATATGATGGAAATGTTCATAATCAAAGCAGATCTTAAGAGAACTCTGTAATTAAAAAATAAATTGTCTCTATGAAATACATCATTACAAACAAGGATTTTTTTTCTCCCTGTTAGCTCAATATAACTCAGTTTCTGAACTGCATCTAACACTAACATTTAGTCATTAGTAATAAAAACCCAAACCCACAAGTATTAGATACTCCATGAGAGACTGAACTAGTGGTTGTAAGTACATTCGTATCTGTGTTCACAGTTATAAGTATGTTATATTTGAACTCTATTGAGGTAAAAGGAAATTTTTTTCTGTAAGAGAGACACTTTTCAAGCAGGATTAGAGAAAGATTTGTTTTCATAAAAAGATTTCTAATACATTTGCAGTTAACTATGTGATGATGTTTCTTAAAGGTTCTCTGCAGATGGATTTTAAGTGTAAAGAAAAATTATCGGAAAAATGTTGCTTATCACAATTGGAGACATGCCTTTAACACTGCGCAGTGCATGTTTGCTGCTTTAAAATCTGGTAAAATTCAGGTACATCTTTCTGTTTCTACATTAAGAATCTTCTGGCTAAACAAATTCTGTAATGATGCATAGTCGATTGTCATGTCAGCAAGATGTTCATCATGCTGGGGTACTGCTAGTGAAATCAAAATAATTCTCTTGAAGACTTCTGGCTTTAAGTGTTTGGTTTGTGAAACTGTTGTCGTGTTGTCACATACCCAGTTTCAGTTAAATCCTCTGCAAATGCTAAGGTGGATGTTCCCAGTGGGAGTATCTCAAATAAGGCACGTACACAATTATGTCCTTTTTTAAAGTTAATGCTTATGCTACAAGCAAGTCAAAAAGGTGGAGAAGAAAAGGACTGACCCTATTTCAGGATATTTCCTTAAAATGTTCAACAGAATTTTTTTTAAGTTCAAACACAGAGCTGAGTACAGCTTTAGACAAACAATATAACATTATTTAAAAATATTTACATGCTCATTTCAATGCTTTTGAGCAATGTTTCAACCTTCCACTTGATGATCCCCAAAATGAGAAAAGTATTGATTCAAGATTTTTCCAAAATATGTTTTTAGGTTTTGTTTTTATATTGTTGAAAAAAACAAAATGTTTTGGTTCATTCTGAATGAACGTTTCTTCAGTTTGATTACAGCCAATTGTTAGTAGTGGGTTTGTACAGTAAGCACTTCTAGAGAATTAATAAATCCTATTTGTAGACCAAAACCCGATACTGATAAAGAGCGGGCATTCCCTTCCTCTACAAGCTTTTTCTCACTAAAAAAAGAGACAAAAGGGGCTGGAAGACACAAAGGCAAGGGCTTTAGTATTCCTTGTATGCTGAAATGGACACGGTTGTTTTGTTCTGTGTGCGGTCTAGCAATCTCTGATGATCCCGATAGCTTGCTTGCTGTTTTTGGAATCCTGTCAGTCTCCACTGCAATTTCCATAAATTCTTTTACTCCTAACTGCATTGGATTCACTCCACACTGATTTTCATGTCCTAGATTCTAGAGTCAGAAATGACATCAAACATAAGTCAATTTTCTCTAGTTTGAGGGGGAAAACAAGCACTGGGAGACACATCTTCCTAGGAGAAACATAAAATCAGTCATTTCCAAATGGATTTGTCTTTTGACTAGACTAAGGAATGAAAGCAGATGCAAATCCAGAGAAGTTGTAACTGCTTAAAGAAAATCTGGATTTGATGGTACAGAAAGTACAGCTGTCCAGTGGCAGTGCTGTCACTAGCTGTTCTCGAAGTTCCTGTCCTGACCGTTGTGCCTGCTATTCTTGTCCCATTACAAAATGCTGCATGAATACTGTAGCTTTGTCCAGCTCTGTTTCTCACTGGACAGATTTAAATAAGCTTTCTGTCAAATTCTGTTGAATAGTAAAGATACAATACAGTCACAGAAGAGAAACTGTAACCTCTCCACTAATCCTTGTTGGAGCTCCAGAATAAACTCTTTAATAATGAGTCAGATATTGTTTAATTTTGTTTTCCATGTACTTTAAACTTCCCTTAATTTATTTGCCCAGTGATCAATGAAAAGCATGACATTTTTCCCTTCTGATTATTCCAAGGACATTTCTATAATGAATTTTTATACCTATTTAGGGAATGTAGCCTAACTCCCTTGCGGTAATAGAGGAGCTGAGATAAAAGTCATTGGGCCAGAATAAAAAAAAAAATCCTCGTTCTCTCTCTTTGCTGCCAGGTGAAATTATGCAAGTCACTTCCTCTTCTTCTGTATCTGTTTCCTCATCAGTATATACAGGGCTAGAGGACGTTCCCTCTGAAAACTGCATTGACGCCTACGGAGAATGATTATTACTGTGCACAACTTCAGAGATAACCTCTTACTCTCAGCAAACCATTTTATGTCCTTGTCCTCTTTGGGCCAGAACTGTATATGCTATGTGGATAAAGACAAGACAGCAAATATAAACCACATTGTTCTGAATAAATCCCTCTCACAAAGCTAACTCACTTCTTGTATTCCTCCTTGCACATAGAGCAAACTGACTGACTTAGAAACACTGGCTTTGCTGATAGCAACTCTAAGCCATGATTTGGATCACAGGGGAGTGAACAACTCTTACATACAAAGGTAAGAAAGTCTGAGAGAAGTAAAAACAAATTAATACCAAAATCACAGAGCTAAATTAAGTACAACTTAATTGAGTTGATGATGTGAGGCTGTGCAAAGGAGCAGCTTTGTACTAAGCAGTAAGTGTGAGAAAGACCAGAAAGATTTGAGGAGTCCAAAGCAAAGACTGTGCAGGGGCAGTATCTTCCTGCTCCTGTTCCTGATGTCCCATCCCCCATTTCCCATACAGTGACAGCAAAACGTCCCAGCTTCTAAGGGACAGCCAGCATGTAGGAAATGTGCAGCTTTTCAGACTGCTCACTGCCCCAACACCTGTTCCCCTGCCCAGTCTGGCCCAGCACAGAGCTGAGATCTGCCACCATCTGATACAAAGGTGTCTCCATACCATTTTGAACTCTGATTGTTCTACTCATGATTTAGCCATATTTTTCCAGAATTCTAAGTTGATTTGGATAAGATACATATTTAAAATCACATCAGAAATGTATGACTGGTTTGCATTAATTTTGGGTTCTTTGTACTCTTTAACTTTGATCAGTTCTGGAATTACAGAAAAACTTTTACAAAGCAAAAAGTCAAAATATGTTTTAAAACCTTGAAACGAAATATTTTTACTAAACAAAATATTTTGCTTTGAAGTTATCAAAAAACATCTGAACTCTTCTGAAATTTTCTCCGTATTTTAAATTTTAACTAAAAATACTTGTTTTGTTAAGACTTTATTAATAGTTCAAGATTTGCCCAAAATGTGCTTTTCAGTGAATTTAGTATTCACTGCAAATAATAGTATAAGATTCTTCAATTAAATAAATAGCTTAACTTAAAACATGGTGTACTATGATTACTGTGATCTGGCAATGTGTCCTGATATGACCAGAGATGGGGAAAAGGTACCGAGAAGTGTATACTTGTATCTTTCTCCAGCAGAGTCGGAGAGTGGTTTAGAAGCTACCTTTGGAAGAAGTGGTCTGCTGTTCTCGCTGTGTGTAAAGGTATTAGAGGAGGAAAAGTTTGTTTGAGGCAGAGAATACTGAAAGGCAGAAAATAAGTAAACTGAAGGAGAATTCCTGCCTTTCAGATATATGTTCAGAATAACACTAAGACTAATGTGTAAAGCAAAAAAAACCCGAGCCCAAAACCCCACAAAACTGAAAGAGTAACCTTTTTCTAGTTCCCTAATAGGGGATTCCAGCAGCAACTGTACCCTTGCAGTGATTGGAACTGGTTCGCTATTTTTTGCTTTATTTATCTAAAAATAAATTTCCTGGAAGACATCTGGAGATACGTCATCTCCTCTCAAAAATGTCCTGGGAAAGTGTTATAGACAGCAAAAATCTAACATTCACACATGCTGTAAAGCAGAAATTATTACAGCTTAATAATTATTTTTCAAGAAAAAGTTCCATTAATTTTGTTTTAAAATCCCTCATTTACATCTAAATGAAAAGTTGTTTTTTTTTCCAGGAATGGATCCCTTTTGTTTCTTCCCTGGAAGCAGAGAGAGGATATACCTAGCATATGATTCTTTTCTTAAGCAACAGGGTTTCAAAAATTAAAGTGGTCCTGGTAGTAGAAATTACAGGAAATTAACTGTTTAAAGGTCTTTTGGTAGATACGCAGGGATTTTGTTTTCTTTTTCTTCCAAACCCACATGTAAAGTAGGCAAGCACAGAGTATGAAAACAGCATAACCTAACCACTGTGTTCAGAAAGCGACAGTGTCCTTTGGCCTGGAGGTTTAACAGAAATGCTGTGTGCTACAGAAGTAGGACCTAAGTTTATTTCCAGCACTTGTGTCTTCCCAGACAGCCAGGGTCTGTAAGCTCTAGTCTGGTGCAGTACTTGGGAAGATAACCTAAGATATTTCTCACATATTTCTCTCTTCAGAGGATGAACTTTAGAGGACACAGTATGCATCCCATTTAACTCAATGGGAATTTCAACCAGCATGTGTTGCCATCACCCTACAATTTGCTTCCCTACAGAAACACGCAAGCATATTTGCTCTATACTCCTTTTGCAGCAGTCTCAGAGGAGGTGCTGGGCAGCCAGCCCATAATCCTCAGGGGCTTGCATCCTTTAATCTCCCCTTCCGCATTTTTGTTTGTCTTTCCATCTTTCTCTCCACATTTTTGTTCTTCTTAAATCCCCAGAGGCTCCTCTTACAACTTTCATTTGAGTCTTTGTAAGCAGTCACTTTCATAGGACTCAATCCTGCAACCACTGATTCATCTGAATGACCCTTAAACCATACAAAAAGTCCCATGGAACTGTATGCTAAAAAAGAATTTCTTACACGATTAAACATTTGTAGGTCAGATTATAATTAGAGTAATAGATTCAGGATCAGCAGCAAAACAGACTTCCAAGAGAATCCCAATTTAAAGAGATGAGATAAGCAATGTGGGACCAGGGACTGAAAATGAGGATAGAGCAGCAAAAGCCAAGAACCATATTATGCAATGAGGAAAAGGGGGAAATTTGAAATCTTCAGCGGGGAAGAATTTCTGTATTTTATCTAAAGCTACTCAAACAGTAAATTCTATTTTCTAGACTAAGATAGCTTTAAACTCTGCATCCATACAGTTAGTTTCATGCTGGTTTTCACCACTTCTAGTAGAACCAACATCTTGTTTCCCTTCTGGATTTTGCCCTGGGCAAAGGGAAGGTAATGATATTGCAGTATCCTGGTCATGAAGAGAGTGGTGATGAATGACGTACCAATACAGTTACTGACTGTGGGACATTACTTCTGGGCCCTGCACCAGAGTCCT